ACTGTTTTAGAAAGTGCTCTTATATCGTTGAGAACATTATCATTGGCTCCTGTAAATGTGTGGAATTCGAACAAATTAAATGCAAATTAAAGCAAATGCAAAGCCAGTTAACAGGGAACGCTATCAGAACTTCGGCGAACAAACATTATTCCAGTAATGCTAATAGAACGTTCGTTCAAAGTTATCTGGTCTTCAATGGCGTTCGTTCTTCAAAATCACAAATAACTGTCCGTTCTGAATGGGTTAATTGTGTTAGAACGATTGTCATCACTGATAATAAACACAACACACAATTAGTTTCAACGCTTTTCTATGGGAGTAAATCCAAGAGTTAATCTGGAATATTATTTGACTACAGCAACTGCCTTTTATGGGAATAAAATGTTGTGAGATACCTGTATGGGTGACTATAAGTTATTTTACGAGTAACATATACACTTTCTAGTTGCTATCTATCTATTCTCCTTCCCTGCTCTTTTGATTTCAGGTTTACTATAGATCTAAGATTTCATTCTTTTCTTTTTTTTCACTATCATATGTGAATTTGTTTGTGAAGTCAGTTAATATGATATGATACATGGTGTTTTGCAGATGTTTATCTGATATAAAACCTACATGCTTTTTCAGACGTGGAAAAAACGAGGAAAAAATATGGATAACCCTTGAATATTTCAAACAGAGCTCAAATCCAGCTTCTTCTGAACTCCGGAGCAGGAATTAGTGCTCAAGTCTTGGACTGCATCACAAGAATTTATAACCTCTCTCTCTCTCTCTCTCTCTGGCAGGGGAGCCATTGCCTTTTTAGGCTGTGTTTTAATTACCGTGTAAACAGGCCATGAGGCAGAGGATGAGAAGAGCTTCTCAAGAAGAGGTGTGTCTGTGTATGTGTGAGCTGTGATGGGAACTATTACACACATGAGAACTTAAATGAGTGCTTTTGTACTGCTGAGAACATTATTTATCAAAGCTTCAGCTCTTTAATGGAGCATAACAGCAGCAAATTAGCTGTGGTTTCTGTTCTTTTATTTTTTTATTTAGTCATTGAAATATAACAATGATTGTATCTCAAGACATAAAAAGAACACATATTCTCATTTACTCTCTCTAAGCTTATGCAAAGTCAATGCAAATCTCCTGGTAGCTGTGTGGATACATCTGGAGAATGAGAAGGGTTGCTGGAAAAAGAAAAGTGTGTCAAGTGATGGTTGCCATCTAGTGGCCGAACAGTCACAGGTCTCTCAAATGAATGCATATATGACAATTATACAGGAGTTCGATAAACGTCGTTATTAAAAACAGGCGCGTGGGCAGCGCGCCGACATGTAGCGCCTTTGCGCTTCGGGCGTCCCGAGTTCGAGTCCCGGCTCGTGGACCTTTCCCGATCCCACCCCCCTTTCTCTCTCACCCACTTCGCTTCCTGTCGACCTACTGTCCTATCTAAATAAAACGCCAAAAATAAATCTTAAAAAAAAAAAAAACAGTCATATGGAATATAATACAGCAGGAAGCATCAGTTAAGCTCATGTGTGTGTTTGAACTCGCATTATTCACCAGCATTGCAATTGCATTGAGATTATTTCCAAAGGATCTACATTTGTACTTATCCCATGTTTACTGACACTGACCCACTGTATTTTTTTTTTTTATTTGACCACTGAAAAGAGCCGTGAGGTTCAAACAGAGAGCAGCGTTGCTCACGCTATGAACTAATAAATGAATAAACGCTGTACCCAAAACAGACAAACTGTATTTGCACTTCAGGTTTACAAACCCTTAAAGGAACAGTTCGCCCAAAATGAAAATCTGCTGAAAATGTTCTCACCCTCAGGCCATCCAAGATGCAGATGAGTTTGTTTCTTGCAGTGAATGGGTGCCGTCAGAATGAGAGTCCAAACAGCTGATAAAAACATCACAATAATCCACAAGTAATCCACAGCACTCCAGTCCATCAGTTAATGTCTTGTGAAGCCAAAACCTGCGTGTTTGTAAGAGAGAAGTCCATCAAGCCATTTTTAACCTCAAACAACTGCTTCTGACCAGTGCAAACGTGTAATAGACAAACACACTCGGGTGACTCGTTAAGAGAAGCAATGTTATAGGCAGTTTAATGATATTAACAGTAGAGCTAACCGAGATCCAGTGTAACATGAGTTAATAGGAAAACATGTGTTACTGATGGGCCTGTGGGATACACAAGACACAAAAGTTGACAAACAGGTCTAGACTAATGGGTAAAAAAATTAATAAATACAGATGTCACCCATGAGAACTCCAAGTCTGCAAGTCTAAATGAATCTAATTAGACAACCAATTAATTTCTTCTGCTCTTTATGTGCAGAAGGTGAACGGGTGACTTGAACATCAGTATTAGTAGCATCGACACATTTCAATAAACGTGGCCTACAGTACAAGGACATATACATCTTCAATCAACAGCGTTGCATGTCAAGAAGTAGTGGCTGAAGGAACAAGAACATCAAACTACACGAAACAACAGTCTTGAGCCCCGTCACATCTGAACCTGCACACACACACACACACACCATCTGTATTCTAGCCTGAATATCACATCAGCTAACTTCTACGTTTAATAGTGTTGTTATTCGTGGCACATATAAACGCTAAAACTGTAGTGAAGGGTGAATCTTGCAAAAATCTGTTAAGAACATGTCCAGGTCACAATTCAGCACAAAAACTAAAAATTGATCAAAGAAAATTAATTCATTTATATAATTTTATAGTAATTTTTAAATATCATTTTATTTTTACCTTTATTTATCCAGGCAAGTCACTTAAGATCAAAATTCTTATTTACAACAATGTATTTGCTTCGTTTGTTTATGTATTGCATTGTGAGATTATTTTCATGAAAAGTAAGCATGTATCCCATATTCTCGTTATAAAATGTGTCTGGATAGATTAAAGAATACGCAATCATGAAAATTATGTAAAAAAAAAAATTACATTTTGGGTGGTGAAATGTGACTTTGACATGGTCCGGGCAAGTTTCGTAAGATTCTCCATAATCAACACACAACCTGCCGTCTTGTGAAGCCAAAACCTGCGTGTTTGTAAGAGAGAAGTCCATCAAGCCATTTTTAACCTCAAACAACTGCTTCTGACCAAAATTTGAGTCCATAATCCATAATAACGCTTCCTCCCCTTTAATGAAATCATCTATATGTTTGCGTGTATAGATAAAGCAAAAAAATAGTATAGGTTATTATAATGCTATTTGAGGAACCTGGCAAGACTTTGCTTTGTTTGTTGATAAACCTATAAAACAAAGAACTTGTGTATGTGTGAATGTTGTTGATCCGTGTTGACTTTAAACATTGACAGCCCTCCAATGTCCGATTCTCATTAAACCCTGTTTATCTGGTGATGTTTGGTCCTTGCATTGCCCCACACAAGACTGCAAGTGACTTTGTTGAAAACCCCGTATTTGATTTATAAATAAATACATAAATACACTTTTTCTGAGGTTCTCTCTGATCGCCTCCAGCACTGTGCAAACGTGTAATAGACAAACACACTCGGGTGACTCGTTAAGAGAAGCAATGTTATAGGCAGTTTAATGATATTAACAGTAGAGCTAACCGAGATCCAGTGTAACATGAGTTAATAGGAAAACATGTGTTACTGATGGGCCTGTGGGATACACAAGACACAAAAGTTGACAAACAGGTCTAGACTAATGGGTAAAAAAATTAATAAATACAGATGATGTCACCCATGAGAACTCCAAGTCTGCAAGTCTAAATGAATCTAATTAGACAACCAATTAATTTCTTCTGCTCTTTATGTGCAGAAGGTGAACGGGTGACTTGAACATCAGTATTAGTAGCATCGACACATTTCAATAAACGTGGCCTACAGTACAAGGACATATACATCTTCAATCAACAGCGTTGCATGTCAAGAAGTAGTGGCTGAAGGAACAAGAACATCAAACTACACGAAACAACAGTCTTGAGCCCCGTCACATCTGAACCTGCACACACACACACACACACCATCTGTATTCTAGCCTGAATATCACATCAGCTAACTTCTACGTTTAATAGTGTTGTTATTCGTGGCACATATAAACGCTAAAACTGTAGTGAAGGGTGAATCTTGCAAAAATCTGTTAAGAACATGTCCAGGTCACAATTCAGCACAAAAACTAAAAATTGATCAAAGAAAATTAATTCATTTATATAATTTTATAGTAATTTTTAAATATCATTTTATTTTTACCTTTATTTATCCAGGCAAGTCACTTAAGATCAAAATTCTTATTTACAACAATGTATTTGCTTCGTTTGTTTATGTATTGCATTGTGAGATTATTTTCATGAAAAGTAAGCATGTATCCCATATTCTCGTTATAAAATGTGTCTGGATAGATTAAAGAATACGCAATCATGAAAATTATGTAAAAAAAAAAATTACATTTTGGGTGGTGAAATGTGACTTTGACATGGTCCGGGCAAGTTTCGTAAGATTCTCCATAATCAACACACAACCTGCTCACAAACTCTGGGAAGGATTTGGCTATAAACTCTGGCATCAGCAAGTTGCCCATCATTCATAATCATGTGCGCTGCATCAGTAGAATAAATACACAAGTTCAAACCACATCATAATGTAGTTGTGAGGGCATAATAAAGAAACCTCAAGTACCCTTTAACAATATACAATTAGTTGTGCTTCTAATTGCATTAAACAGACATTGTTCCCTTTAGTCAAAACTAAAATATCTAAAAAAATCTCTCTCATGTACATATTTAAATAAGTGCCAGTTGTTATTAGGGGTTTATTGTGTATGAAAGCTTGTTTCCACCACAGAATAAAAATAAAAAAGGTAATTGTGACTTTATTGCAATTCTGAATTTACATCTCACAATTCAGATTTTTTTTTCTTGCAGAAAAAAAAAAATCGGAATTGTGAGATAACGCGTTTATAACTTGCATTAGTAATATACTGTATACAGTAAATTCGCAATTGTGAGAAAAAAGTCAGAATTCTTGGATAAAAAGTCGCAATTACCTTATTTTTTTATTCCATGGTGGAAACGAGCTTCCATAATTATGTGCTGCTGACTAAATAAAGAACTCTATTTGACCCTTAGCTCTGCATGGTCCAAAACTGTGCATGTCTGCTGCATATGAATCAGGTGCATTCTTTGGACTTAGTATATAAAAAATATTAGGTTTTCTCAATAATGAGGTTGGGAGCTGCAGGTTTTGCATAGTCCAGTCTCTGTCCGTTTGGGAAGGCTTAGGAAACTCAGAGGCACCGAGTGTTCTTTGAAGTGTCCTAGAGACCCAGAGCGGACAGGATTGACAACAGTCTTTATTGTGGAAAGTGCTGTCTGTGCTACATGGGACTGGTGTTGTGTGTCTGGTCTGTGCTCTGTTGCTTGTATATGAAGGTCAGGAGGAACAGGGCGACGTCATGGGACGTCCAGTAGGCCGTGTGTGAGGTCACAGCTGACCAATAGCGGCTCTCCACCAAACCCTCCCGAAGCTCATAGTCAATGCGATGCTCCATCTCAACTGTGACACACACAACAAGCAATCAGTATGAGTTCAACAGAAAGAAAGAAAGTCAAACCGGTTTGGAACAAGGGGTCGGTAAGGTTTAATGTTTTTGAATGAAATGCTCACCAAGGCTGCATTTATTTAATCAAAAATACAGTAAAAACAGTAATATTGTGGATTATTACAATTGTAAAATAGCTGTTTTTTATGTGAATATATTGTCAAATGTAATTTATTTCTGTGATGCGCAGCTGTATTTTCAGCATCATTACACAGATACCACTTTTTCCAGTACTCGCCCGATACCGATACTTTTATTTTTGGTACTTGCCGATACAGAGTACCGATACCAATATTTTTATTGCATTTGTACATTTTTTTAAATATTGGGTACAGAAACAAAAAGGGTATGTATATTGTTAGTTGGTTAACTTTATTTATCAAATAGATAGTCAAACCAACATTTATTCAGACACCTTCTATTCGCTATAGTTTAGAAAATGGTAATAAAATATGATGTCTGTGAGAAAGATATATTCACTCGACAAGCTCGCGCATCGTGCATCAATCCACTCAGCTTGCTTTGTTAATCAGCTCGCGCACATCAGCTATACAGGCGTTAATACTGAATGTTTAACATTATATTCATTGCATACATATACTTCGTAGTAGACATCCTTAACTCCATTCTGCTGTCCGTTGTTCTGTTGTCTGTGTTTCTTTGTTTGAATATGGCACTTAACACATGCTGTGTGGTATCGGCGTTTGGTATCGGGGCATTTTAACGAGTACGAGTACGAGTACAGGAGACCAGTATCGGGCCCGATACCGCATCCCTAATTATCAGTGTTGAAAACAGTTGTGCTGCACAATATTTCTGTGGAAACTGTGATGCATTTTATTTTTCAAGATTCACAGATGAATAGAAAGTTCAGAAGAACTTTGAAATAGAAATCTTCTGTAAAATTATAAATGTCTTTACTGTCAATTTGGATCAATTTAATGCGTCCTTGATGAATAAAACTAGTTCATTTTACTGCATTAAGAGAACACAAGTGTTGGTTGTACACACCTGCTGCATCGAATAAAGAGGAGGAAGAGGATGGAGATATGGCTGAAAATGTAAAAGTGCTTTGGCCGTCCTCACTGTCACCTATCCCAGAATCCACGGCTGACGGCAGGCTGGGCGATCGAGAGAAGTGAGAGAATAAAATCCCGCTGATGCCCTTGCTGATACTAGCAGCGCCTGCGCAAGCACAAGCTTACAGATTAGCAGACAGCAATCTGACTATTACTGTATTATCTTTTCTTCTGTAATACACTTACAATGTTAGTCACAGTTTTTGCACTTCAAAATCAGCCATAATTGAGTTTATCACAGTATTTCACTCTTTGATCCCTACCAAGTAAACTTTTTTTTTGCTGCTGTGTCTTTAAGACTTCTATGTACTTCTATATACAGTAGTATAATACGTGACCATGGAGCACAAAAGCAGTCTTAAGTTACTGGGGTATATTTGTAGCAACAGCCAAAAATACACTGTATGGGTCAAAATTATCGATTTTTCTTTTATACCAAAAATCATTAGGATATTAAGTAAAGATCATGTTCCATGAAGATATTTTGTAAATTTCCTACCGTACATATATCAAAACTTAATTTTTGATTAGTAATATGCATTGCTAAGGATGGATTTGGGCATGATGTGGTCCTGGTCACCGGTGTTTCCGGGCCGGATGCCTCTCAAAGCCAGAAACACAGCCAGAGGAGAACCCATGCAGAAGAAGTTCTCCACCTGCAATTCAATTAGTGAGCTTTATTATATGGAGATACAGATATGTTATTTGTAGAGTTGATCACAACATTAAAAGGAACAGTTGACCCAAAAATTAAAACACCCTCAGGTCATATGAGATTAGGATGAGTTTGTTTCTTCATCAGATTTGGAGAAATGTAGCATTGCATCAGTGTCTCAGCAATGGATGCTCTGCAGTGAATGGGTGCCGTCAGAATGAGAGTCCAAACAGCTGATAAAAACATCACAATAATCCACAAGTAATCCACAGCACTCCAGTCCATCAGTTAACATCTGGAGAAGACAAAAGCTGAAACTAATCCAGCATTAAGACGTTTTTAAATTAAAACCGTCCATAATCCACAATAATGCTTCCTTCAGTGAAAAAGTCAATCTCCTGTTGTCTCTCACATCAAAATCCACACACATATTTGCTTAGAGCTGTTTTGGACTGTTTTGGCTTGTAAACGGTGCTTGATCTTGATTTCTCTCCTGATTCAGACCAGACGACTTTTTCACTGGAGGAAGCGTTATTATGGATCATGGACTCGTGTTTTAGCCGGAAGCAATGATTTATATTTAAAAACATCTCAATGATGGATTTGTTTCTTCCAAACACAAAGCTTTTGTCTTCTCCAGATGTTAATTGATGGACTGGAGTGCTGTGGATTATTGTGATGTTTTTATCAGCTGTTTGGACTCTCATTCTGACGGCACCCATTCATTGCATTGTTCATTTGCTTTCTCCAAATCTGATGAAGAAACAAACTCATCTACATCTCGAATGGCCTGAGGGTGAGCACATCTTCAGCTTTTTTGGGTGAACTATTCCTTTAATGTCACTACATCACCTTAAACTTTAATGTAGGGAAGGGTGCAGGTTTTGATGCCTTCAGGCCCTGAAGTTGATCTTGCAGATCTCGTAACCTGTCACAGATACAGATTAATTAGAAGATACAAGATTTGTATTTTTTCTGAAGAATGAGTGGTGCTTGTTCAATGCGAAACTCACCGCATTACTACGCAGTTGCTTACCTTCGTGTGGTTAGTCGCACGTCCTTCAGCAGGTGGCGCTCTTCATGAGTGGTCCAGTGCATATCCTCGTCCTCCAGCTGATCCCGATGTTCTTGCAGACAGAAGCGCACAGGATCCCAGCCTGTCATGATATCAAAGGTGATCACGCAGCCCAGCGAGTGGGAGATGATGGACACTTTGCCGCCTCTGCTCTCAAACTCGGGGTTTCGAGAGCAGAAGAGAGAATAGAGGCGGTTGAGCTCCTGCGTCAAACCTTTAGTGATCTGGATGGATGAACATTAGAGTATATTTAAACTAAATACTTCATTCGTCAGCTTTATAGGAAGATATATAGTACTGTTTAAAAGTTTGGGGTCAGTAAGATTTAATCAATGCTTTCTTTCAGCATTAAATTGATTAAGTGACAGTAAAGACATTTATAATGTTACAAAATATTTCTATTTCAAATAAATGTTATTCCTTTGTACATTTTATTCATCAAAGTATCCTGAAAAATAAAATGTACCACAGTCTCCACAAAAAAATTCGCCATCACAACTGTTTTCAATATTGCTAATAATGAGCAGCAAATCAGCATATTAGAATGATTTCTGAAGATCACGTGACACTGAAGACTGGAGTAATGATGCTGAAAATACAGCTGCGCATCACAGAAATAAATTACATTTTAATATATATTCACATAGAAAACAGCTGTTTTAAACTGCAATAATATTTCACTATATTACAATATTTTACTGTATTTTTTATTAAATAAATGCAGCCTTGGTGATCATAAAAGATGTCTTTTAAAAAAACATTTTTAAAATCTGACCAACCCCAAACATTTGAACGCTAGTTTAATTCCCCCAAAAATAAACATTCTGTCATTAAAAATCACCTACATGTCGTTCCAACCTCGTGTGACTTTCGTTCTTCAGTGAAACACAAAAGGAGATGGTTTGCAACATGCTAACCCCGCTCTTTTCCGTACAGTAAAAGTATATAGTAACCAGAGGCTGTCAAGCTCCAAAAATTACCATAAATGCACCTTAAAAGTTTCATAGCTTTGTGTGAGCAACTTATTAGTGCTTGACAACCACTTGTTACTACTGTATTTGCCTTAATTGTGTGGAAAAGAACAGCATGAACATAATTCTGAATTTCTATACAAGACTGGAACGATGTGAGGGTGAGAAAATCCTGACAATATGTTGATAATGAATATCCGTCACCTCGTCTCTGTAGAGAGGGCTGGTGTAGTACATGATGTCCATGGCGCTGCTGTTGAGTAAATCTCTCAGGCCTCTCACTTTATCTGGTGTGATTGACTCCACTGTGTCTGCATGCGAAGAGGACAACGCTCTCAAAATATGCATACAAAGGCTAATGTATTTTTTCAATCATCATTTCGTCATTAATGTTAATGCCCGTCATTGTTTGAGCGGTTTCGTTTGCACAGCTGATAGAGGGATGAAAAATGATAAAAGAGTTCATGGCCTGTATTATATTCTCCTGCCATGTTTCTGCTCTCCGCTAAAACAGCATGTGTGTGCTTGTGAAGAAAAGGTAAAAGCACAGAGTGTGTGATAACAGCAGCTGTTCGGAGAGTGAACGCAGATAGACACGTGGTGTGGCGTCTGTCTTACCGCCGTCTAAAGCCAGTTTAGAGCGCCACTCGACCGGCAGGAACTCCACATGTTCCTCTCAACACTACAAAAAAATATTGTCCATACAGAAAGTAGAGGTTGTTTAAAAAAAAACAAAAAAAACAAACAAACAAAGTAATACAGATTTGAGTTTTTTGGGGAATTTTAATAATTACTTGTGCTTATATTTTCTGTCACAAAATGATATGTAAAATGTAATGTAAATGTTATATGCTTTAGATTTTTAGTAATATTTTATTCAGGAAAATCAAAGTTGGCACACCACAGCTCCAAAAAAAGTAGAAAACTATTAATTATGTTCTCACCACAGGTGACCCTTCGAGCCTAAAAGCCTGAACACACGACAGAAAATCACATTACCCTTCAAAATGTGCACACTTTCAGTATTATTTAAAAATTGCTGTTATTGTTAACTAAAGCAAGAATTATTCAAACCAGTTTAGCTAATTAGAATTAAAGCTGAAGTAAAATAGGATAGAAATTTTAGATGAAAAACTTAAACTTAAAAAACAAACGCAAATTTGAAATTGCCTTGGAAATTGGAATGAAGTATGTTATAAATCATATAAATTACTAAAACTGAAATGAAAATAAATTAAAGCTAGGCAGAAACATTCAAATGAAAACTAATAAAAAAGCAGTCAATTTTTTCTTGTTAAATGATTTCACACGTTTACATTTGTTTATTTATTTTTTTTATTTGTGCATTTCGTTCAATGTCCCTGCTATTTAGATGTTATGTGTTTTTTTATTAATAAAAAGCACAAAAAAAAAAGTAAAGATAAAAGCACATACAATTACTAAAACAAAAATGAAAACTGAAAATATATTTATAAAACCCTAATATTAATTCAAAATATTAATAATTAATTCATACAATAATAGCACATAATTCTAAAATAAAACTGAATTACGATTTTTCTGGTAATAAAGATTCTTTGAGGATGGTATTATCCTAATAGTTAAAGTTACTGTCACAGTTTCTTTTTAAAGTGAGATCAATAAACATGCATTATTAGTCTATTGTGCCTGTGGTACTTTATATATAATATGTAAAATGTAATGTAAATGTTATATGCTGGTGACACAGGTGACCCTTCGAGCCTAAAAGCTCTTCATCAGACAATGTTAGGCTCGAAGCGTCACCTGTGGTGAGAACATAATTAAATAGTTTTCTACTTTTTTTGGAGCTGTGGTGTGCCAACTTTGATTTTTCCTGTTTGAAATGTTTTTGTGGTTGAGCACTTACATTGAGCTTTTGGCCGGCTGGATGTGCGCACTTTCATATTTGATTGGAATCTAATATTTTATTTACATTTTAAATAAGTCTTATTAGTAGCTATAAATAACCGCCTGCGTTGGTGGTATAGTGCTGAGCATAGCTGCCTTCCAAGCAGTTGACCCAGGTTTGTTTCCCAGCCAACGCATTTCCTTTGCAGAAGACTAAGAAAACTTCAGGCCCAGATGGGTGTATTACCTGCCTGTCTAAAGGTCTGCGCTGACCAACTGGCCCCCATCTTTACACAGACCTTCAACAGATCTCTGGAGCTGTGTGAAGTTCCCTGCTGCTTCAAACACTCCACCATCATCCCGGTCCCCAAAAAAACGAACTTAACAACTACAGACCTGTCGCTGTCACGTCTGTGGTCATGTAGTCATTTGAGAGACTGGTCCTGGCCTACCTGAAGGACATCACTGGACCCTTGCTGGATCCTCTTCAGTTTGCCTACAGAGCAAACAGGTCTGTGGATGATGCAGTCAACATGGGACTGCATTACATCCTGCAACACCTCGACAGACCTGGGAATTACGCAAGGATCTTATTTGTGGACTTCAGTTCAGCCTTCAATACCATCATTCCTGACCTTCTTTCAGACAAACTCACACAGCTCTCTGTGCCCACCTCCATCTGTCAGTGGATCACCAGCTTCCTGACAGACAGGCAGCAGCTAGTGAGGCTGGGCAAACTCACAACCAGGACTATCACCATCAGCACTGGCACTCCCCAGGGATGTGTACTCTCCCCACTGCTCTTCTCTCTCTACACGAATGACTGCACCTCTAAAGACCCCTCTGTCAAGCTCCTGAAGTTCGCAGACGACACTACAGTCATCGGCCTCATCAAGGATGGAGACGAGTCTGCTTACAGACAGGAGGTTAAAGAGCTGGCTGTCTGGTGCAGTCACAACAACCTGGAGCTAAACACTCTCAAAACTGTGGAGATGATTATGGACTTCAGGAGGAACCCCCCCTGCACTCTCCCCACTCACCATCATGAACAGCACTGTGGCTGCAGTGGAGTCATTCAGGTTCCTGGGCACCACTATCTCTCAGGACCTGAAGTGGGACACTCACATAGACTCCATTGCAAAAAAGGCCCAGCAGAGGTTGTACTTCCTTCGCCAGCTGAGGAAGTTCAACCTGACACAGGAGCTGCTGAAACAGTTCTACTCGGCCGTCATTGAGTCTGTCCTGTGTTCATCTTTAACTGTATGGTTTGCTACCAAATCAGACATCAGAAAACTACGTCGGACAGTCAGGACTGCTGAGAGGATTATTGGTGCACCTCTGCCCACCCTCCAAGATCTTTACACCTCCAGAGTGAGGAAAAGGGCTGGTAAAATCCGCCTCAGGACTGTACATCTGATAATAACTCATCAAAACTTTCATCTGTAAATAGCACATATGCACATTCACATTCTGTCTACTGACATTTTCTTTTTCTCTATATGTTATTACTATATTGTAATTTATAACTTATTGTCTATTCTCTTTATTATTACTGTTTTTATTACCTTAAATTATATGTATGTCTGCACTATGTTTGTACTGGAAGCTCCTGACACCAAGACGAATTCCTTGTGTGTCAGATAAGCCAACACCAACCTCTCAAATGTCTTGATGTTCTGAATAAAAACATTATTTTTCAACACCATCAGATCTTCTTCAGTAGATGAAAATGAAAATCAGTTTGAGAGCATCCTGAACATGAGACATGAGAAACACCCATTTTGTGGGAAAATGGAAAAACCAGGAGCTCTGAACATGTTTACATGAATGATTCATCTAAATACATTCTTAATTTGCTGTATACACTATAGCTGTTCACCACAGCATGCCCATTGAGCATTAGCACTAACAGCACTCCTGAGGACTCACATGCCAGTGTTTTTGATGATACGATCCTTGTCCATCTTCTGTCCAATGCCATGGACCACAAACACAATGTGTGTGGTCTGAGGGGGTTTATCGTCCAGCGAGGCCTCTTCCACAAAGCCGCGGTGCAGTCTGGTGCCACTGCTGGAGGCTGAGCACAACCACACCACACACGTTATGAGAGCTGTTTCATTAATACAGTCACACAGCACTGCTGCAAACTCCGCATCTGTGACTATATTCACAATAGAACACAGGCTTTTGTACCTCCACTGCTTTTTATGAAAAGATTACAACATTATAAAAATATTACAGACACACAAACACCTTAAAACATCCTACCTTGGCTACATTTGCAGGTTCATTTTGTTAATATGAACGAACCGTTTTGATTAACACACTTCTAAAGCATTTATTAATCTTAGTTAACGTTAATTTAAACATTTACTAATATATTGTTAAAATCAAATGTTGTACATTATCAAACATGAACAAATACTGTAACAAAAGCTTTGCTCGTTGTTAGTTAATGTATTACTAATGTTAACTAATAGGACCTTATTTGTAAAGTATTAACAGGGTTATTCTAGTTAACTAAAACCATAAACATTGTTACTCGTGTTACTTGGAATAAATAAATAAAAAACCTTAAGAAATTTGTAATAAAATATAAAACTTTTTTGGTCACACTTTAGTTTAGGGACCAATTCTCACTATGACCTAACTATTAACTATGACTTTTGTCTCTCCTAAAAACTCCTAATTTGCTGATTATTAATAGCAAGGTAGTTGTTAAGTTTAGGTATGGGGTACAGATTAAAGGATCTAAAATATGGTCATGCAGAATAAGGCATTAACATGTGCTTTATAAGTACTAATAAACATCCAATATGCTAGTAATATGCATGCTAATAAGCAACTAGTTAATAGTGAGAATTGGTCCTAAACTAAAGTGTTACCACTTTATATACTGTATATATATATATATATATATATGATTCGTTCACTTTCAGAATAAAAATTTCCTGATAATTTTCTCTCCCCCATGTCATCCAAGATGTTCATGTCTTTCTGTCTTCAGTCGCAAATAAATTAAGGATTTTGAGGAAAACATTCCAGGATTTTTCTCCATATAATGGACTTTAATGGGGACCAACGGGCTGAATGTCCAAATTGCAGTTATAGAGCAGCTTCAAAGAGCTCGACACGATCCCAGCCGAGGAATAAGAGTCTTATCTAGCGAAACGATCAGTCATTTTCTAAAACAAATAATAATAATAAAAATGTATATACTTTTTAACCACAAATGCACATCTTGCACTAGCTGGACTTCACGCAGTGCGTAATCCCGTTGGAAAGCCCGTTGGTCACCACTGAAGTCCATTATATGGAGAAAAATCCTGGAATGTTTTCCTCCAAAACCTTCATTTCTTTGTGACATCTTGGATGACATGGTGGAGAGCAAATTATCAGGAAATTTTTATTTCCTTTAAAAAAAAAATGAAGAAAAAAAAAACTAATAAAACCTAAGCAGACATATTTTTTTTTTTACAAAATGACAAAAACACACAACACAATTACTGCAACATTAACTAAAATATAAAATATAAAATGAAAAAACTGATTTAAAATATTAATAAAAACTATAATAGTATCTCAGTGATACAAAAATAACACTGCCGCCATATTATCAGAAAGGCCGTTCTATGCAAGTTCTGAGAGTTTGAATAGTTTTAAAATACATTTTACAAAATGTATCCAGAAATACAGCTGGGATTGATCAGTGAGATGATGCCTGTGTGCACGTCCACTCACCTTTAGAGAAGCCCAGCTTCTGCGTGACAGTGCGTGCGATCTTAGACGTGGTGGCGTCACTATACAGATACACCTCATCCACGCTGTACCAGTCCACATGATTGCGGCTCAACTGCAGACTGTGAATGGCTGGACGGTGAAATGTGGACAACGTTTAGGAGAGCAGACGACACTCATTTCATTCACAGACATGGCTATGTATTAACACACATCACTGTTCACGTTACAGAGTAAATGACTATAGGAAGCCATGAAACTACAGGAAGCAGATTGTGGCTTTTCAGTGCACAGACGCGTCTGGATTTTAATCAGTGAATGACAGTGCTTAGGCAGTAAAGTATCCCATACAGAGAGCACACTGAAAAGCCATCTGTCACTCTCTCTTACAGAGAGATATGAACAGAGAAATGAATCTGGCTAGAGGATCGAAATGGGAAAATCTATGGGAAAATACATTCTGGATGGTTTAAATGTACACTTATATTAATTATATGAATTATTTGGTACAAATTACAATTACATTACTTGGAGTCAAATTACAGAGGGGGAAAATAAATAACTTTAACAACATTAAAAATTCCAGCATTATTGTTTGGCATTATTTTATTCTTAGGCAGAGACTTATAGGTCTATTAGTAAAATCTGTTGACTTTAGCAATCATTGTTGCATTATATTCCAATGGTGGCACTTTTTGCATTTTTCCCCAAATGTTTTCTTACCTGTAACTCAAGAAGTATTACAGATATCTTAAAATCCATTGAGAATTTGGTTCTTAACAACCCTTTCTTTTGCCATTTTCATTGTTAAGGCCCTATGTGATTCAGTTCTGATAATGGGGATCTCACTGTGGCTCCATCATCGTGTAAATAGTTTTCAGTGGTCAAAAACCAAATGTGGGTCACTTTCCCTACAGCTTTGCATTATGTTCCCGTAACTCATGCGGCATTGTTGAATTTGACCCATTTTCAATGGTTGAAAACCAAATGTAGGTCACTTTGCATACAGCTGATACATATGCAAACTCTGGAAAAATAATATTTTTGCAATTGTCCTCAGACATTCATCTTTAAAATGAAAAAAAAAAAAAAAGTATTAGCTGTGTGCAAAGTGACCCACATTTGAATATGTTTACAATTGAACAATTTACTCATGGAACCACAATGAGATCCCCACATCTCTGGATATTAAGATGTCTTTAATATTTCTTGAGTTACAGGCATGAAAAGAATACAAAAAGTGCTTTTTCCCATTTTTGAACTCACCATTGGCATATAATGCAACAAGGATTTCTATAGTCTATTTTACAAATACACCTACCAATCTCTGTGCAAAAAGAAAATAATGACGTTGCCATCTTCCTAAAGTCATTTCACCCCCCGTAATTTGGCCCTAAATCTCAGGTGAAAATTTTGATCCTCCTCTACAAAATACTGAATTACTCCATCATTACTCATGTCAGTAACACTTCATCTCACTATTAACTAGTTGCTTATTAGCATGCATATTACTAGCATATTGGCTGTTTATTAGTACTTCTAAAGCACATATTAACACCTTATTCTGCATGATCATATTTTAGATCCTTTAATCTGTACCCCATACCTAAACTTAACAACTACCTTACTATTAATAAGCAGCAAATTAGGAGTTTATTGAGACAAAAGTCATAGTTAATAGTTAGCTAATAGTGAGAATTAGTCCCTAAACTAAAGTGTGACCCTCATGTCATTTAATATATTGGCTTTCTTCTTCATTTATGTATTTCTTTCAACAATTTTGGATAACACTGAACGACCCTCTTGTAGCTATACTTCCAAAAATGTGTGTATTTTAACACTGCAATGCTTTTCTCCATAGACTTCCATTGTAAGTTTAATACTGTAAACTTGGTGATTTACTGGTAATTTTGCACATTTCTAAATTCATCCGATTTTAAACGGTGTTCACTATGATACATCGAAATATATCTCGTCTGTACTCAGAGCTGCTCTTTTGCACAGGCGTCTAAGGCTGATCACCATAAAGCAAACAAATGGACTGCAGGCCTAGAGCATCATGCTCTAACATTGACAGTAAGTTCAGTGCAGTGATGGATCTGGATAAGAACAATGGACTGATGATTGACAGGTTCTGTTCTCTTTAACTGCAATGATTTCTACAGTCCAGTGTCAATTAACCGTCTCTCTATCAATCTTATCTGTGCAAGTGAGGACATTCAGAGGACAGCGGGGTGATACAATCTGAGTCGAGTTTCCTGATAGACACACATTTATCTACTGAGGACATCTTTCAATCCGAGCTCTAAATAGAATCTTCAAGATTGTATTCCGTAATGTACAATAACAAGGCGACAAAAGATCTATTTTTGAACTAAAGATCAAAATATTAATAGAGGAACATCCTAGCACCATCTTACTGAATGGGGTGAACAAGGCTGTTTTATAAAAGCAAACAATGGGCAAAAGCCAATGGGCAACAAGCAAAGTGTATGATGAAAATCTAAAAATGGGCAAACATTGGCCGAATAATTGGTTCACTCACTGGGGGTTGCATGACACTAGTGCAAGAGTATTTGAGTTTGAAAACTCACTGTTTCCCAGAGAAAACTCAATGGAAGCATGTAGATCTACTCTATTGACCTACATACAAAACATAAGCCCATTACGGTGCCAGGAGCCGAACTAAAGGTACTCAGGGGTCCCAATAAAGGACAGATTATTCTTAAATGGCTATCGAGGGCCTCGTGAATCTGTAGAATAGATTATATTTGATGGATAAACAACCTCAAAACAGAACATGTTGCATTACATGTTCATCATAAATGGAGTAGTGGAGTATTAGAGCAGGACCAACTTAATCTGGAGGGATTACGAGGCCAATTTAGGTTAACAGGACTTGTGTCAGCGATGTGATTTCTCAGCGGCAACAGGCACTTGGTTTTCCGCATGTATTTTGAAGGATATGCCTCTCTCTAGCCATGGCTGTGAATTTAACAGAATATCTCAAAAACTATTTGTGGATAAAGCAGCATTTGTCAAGAGAACAAAAGTCATTTCAAGAGAAATGTGCACAATACCATGGAAATGGAAGTTGCAGGCACAAAGGAAGCTACCGTGGCTCTTTTGCTCAACCCATTACGGTGCCAGGAGCCGAACTAAAGGTACTCAGGGGTTCCAATAAAGGACAGATTATTCTATATAAATGACAAAATAGTCATTTCCAGAGAAATGTGCACAATACCATGGAAATGGAAGTTGCAGGCACAAAGGAAGCTACCGTGGCTCTTTTGCTCAATGTAATAAATGACTCACAGATTAGATCACGCAAACAAAACACTTTTACGAATCTCATGTTTGCACAAATGTAGCGGCAGATCCCTCATGTTTGGGAAGGACAGCGTATCAGGCAGTTGAGAGGTAACTGAAGCGTATCATTTTGGTGACACATTTTCAGTCACATTACTTTTTTGATTCACATCAAAGAATTTATTTGCTTAAAAAAAAAAGAAGAAGAAATAGAGGACATCAATGACTGACAGTTGATATCTTGCTCTAAAATGACCTGGCGTTTTAGGATGCATTTCTGTAAATGAACTGTTGCTGGACGTCTGTAATGTTTGTCATCAATTTATGCAGGAGTAGCAAATTATTGAATATAGGAAATTTACCTAACACAAAATATATTTCTGTATGCATGTAACTATGCATACATAATTACGCAAATTTAAAATATGAGCATATATATAGATTATTAGGAGAAACAGAATATACAACAAATACTAGAATATGAGCCAGTAATACCATATTGCATTAAATTTATGGTCGTATCCTGTTACACTAGCAACAGTCTAAGTATTAACTTGGTAATTAATAGTGGTGTCTGTTAAAAATAATGCATGAAACAAAGTATCGATCATATTTTGATTTAAAGATGACTACGTTTGTGAACTATTGGCCTTGGCTTTTATCAGTTAGAAATAACATAAAATAATTATAATAATGGCTCAGTGGTAGAGCATTGCGTTAGCAGCGCAAAAGGTCGTGGGTTCAATTCCCAGGGAACACACATACTGGTAAAAAATGTATAGCCTGAATGCACTGTAAGTCGCTTTGGATAAAAGCGTCTGCTAAATGCATAAATTAATTAATACTTTTTTAAGTTGTAAATAAAACATTCTACAAGAAAAACATATTTCAGTCTTACGTTTAATTCAACGTGTCACTTGCCGTTTCTTCGTAATTATTTGTGAAATTTACACGAAATTTCTGAGTGAAATTTGTTTCAATCAGTCAATCCTACACCAAATTTCAGTGCACAACTAGGCACAATTCAAAGAACAGGTCTGTGATTAAATAAACTTTAACATGAGACACAATGCATGTATCTGAAACACTGCTTTAGGCATTTTGGATACATCAAGATTCTAAATATAGTAGCTTAATGAGGAAAAAACAGCAGGAAAAAAGGTCAAGTGGAACATGAGGGCCAAAAAGAACAACACTTTTAACACTTTTATGAATCTGGGTGTAAAGCTAATGCGAGGTCTCTAATGAGCAAAGGTGGAAAAAGAGACTAAGCATCTACAAGGAGTAAACATGGAGGGTTGTAGTACCTTGGCATCGCTTTCGCTTGTGACTTTTAGCACTCGTCTGATATCCACTCCATTTGAATAGAAAGGCGAGGTAGAATGGGGGGAAATGGGAAAGAACTAACAAACCAAAAAACAGTAAGTGGTCACGTTATTGGCAATGTCACTTATCTATATCACTTTATCATTGTAACACGAAGCTTTGGTTTTAATAAAAACCCACAGCATTATGAGACTGCATTGTACTCTATAACATTCAACACAAAATACAAGTAATGCCATCAAAATGCATCAAATCTCAGCAGCACACTTAAGCAGGAAAGGCAATAACATCTACTAGACCCACCCGTGTTAGTAACACATGAAAATCATGCTTCTCACATCCTTATAAGGGTCTTTTTTAAGGATTTCAAAGTGAAAGCATGTGATATGACCCAGGACACATTTCTTATTTCAGATGTGTTAACCAATAAATGTTGCAATAGTAAAGACACAGTGAAAACACAAAATCACTCTGCCATGTAAAAGCCCAATAAACTCATACATTAAATCCAAATAATTTAATTGGTCTTTAATTCAGTGTTTAAGGGAGCTGTTGTTTGATACTCTGATCATTCACTGACCATGTTTACAAGCACAAAAATGTTGCTTTATTACATGACATTTGATCATATTGTAATTATGTATGCATTGTGCATTACCAAAACTAGATTAAGACAAATCACTGTTAGTTCATTGTGCTTGTGTGACATAAATAAGATTTAACAAGTAACTGCAGAGAACTGCTAAATATGCAGTGCAATAAATGGCAAGGAGAATATCTCAAGTACCTCCATAAGAAAACAGCAGAAACATTGCTGATATTATACAGCTCCTGCAGACAGGAAAGTTCAACAGATGTGGAGCATCTAAACCTTTCTTAGTTTTAAGACTTAACTAAAATACAGACCTTAATCAGAAAATAGGATCCTATTCCTAAATGATTCAGTGAAACCTTTTAGATGTTATTTTACAGAGAGCAATCGCTCCTTTGTGAGGCGGTATTATTTATTGTCCTTCCCTCCCTTTATTTCTTACACACAAACCAATACAGAACTTTTCTCTCCCTTTTACATAAATAAGATTTAACAAGTAACTTCAGAGAACTGCTAAATATGCAGTGCAATAAATGGCAAGGAGAATATCTCCAGTACCTCCATAAGAAAACAGCAGAAACATTGCTGATATTATACAGCTCCTGCACACAGGAAAGTTCAACAGATGTGGAGCATCTAAACCTTTCTTAGTTTTAAGACTCAACTAAAATACAGACCTTAATCAGAAAATAGGATCCTATTCCTAAATGATTCAGTGAAACCTTTTAGATGTTATTTTACAGAGAGCAATCGCTCCTTTGTGAGGCGGTATTATTTATTGTCCTTCCCTCCCTTTATTTCTTACACACAAACCAATACAGAACTTTTCTCTCCCTTTTCAATAAACCCAAGTCATGAACACCAACGCAGTTTTATCAATGAACCACTGGCCTCTCATGACAGGGATACAATCCTGTTCTACAAGGCGGGGAACACAAAACAAAGTGCTAATCGAACAGTACAGGACACAGAATAAAAGTAGGAAAGACCTGAATCATTCAGCAATCAAAAACTAGAACAAGTGTAAGAAACATATTGTATGTATTAAACTTGGGTAAACTGTATTTGTTAAAAAAAATAAAATAAAAAATAAGCTTTTGCAAGAAAACATTCTTTCTACTTCTAAATTTAATGTTTAATTCAATTTGTTACTTGCTGTTTTTTGTAATTATTTATGAAATGTTCTAGTACGAGTGAAAATTGTTTCAAAGTACATCCTACTCCAAATTAGTTTCAGGGTACCTGCATTTAAAAGTTTTACACACTGAATTCTTCTGCTAAACTCATCAAAGTGATATTATATTCACCCGAGATGCTAATACAGTTCATTATTATGCAAAAAACTAAACATGTAGCCTTTAGGATTATGCACCGAATATCTCTTGTAAAAGAATTGGGCAATTTCATTTCAACCAGTTAATATAGTGAGAATAAATACAGGTATGATTTGTTCTATTTATGTGCATAAAATGGTTTGCAATGTTGAAAACTCCCAATAAAAAGTTGTTTAGAAAAAAAGACAGAGGTCTTACTCTAAACCTGACGTGAACAAAACTGCAGGTGTCACAGACACCAAAGACTGTTAATAATTCAGTGGACAGGGAAGCTACTTTTCTTGAAATTATGCGCATGTTACATACAAGCTTGGAAGGATCTAAAGATTCTCAACAGCAACCTGTGTGTGTGTAGCTTCAAGAGAGCAACCATTTTATTTATTTATTTATTTTTTTTAAATCATTTACAATCATTTAAAAATTATATATAATTAAATAATCATTTATTATGTATCATTTAACCATTTATTAATTTTTATTATATTTCTTATTATTTTATTTTTTTGTTCTTGTAGTGCTTTTTATTGACGTTCAATTTGGATTGTTTGGTTTTAAGAGACATCAGTCTTATAAGAGAATGTCTCCATTTCAATGTCTGTAATGTAACTGGACGATGTTGTGAAGCAGTTGTTGGATTTTTGCTGGTCAGACGAAGTCCAGGCGAAGTAGGGATGAAGTTCAAATGAAGTCTGAGCACTGAAACACACGTAACTAAGATTATTCACTAAACCCTGCTCATTCTTATCATCACTTCGAATCCTGCTTTCTGCTATATCACAGCTTCTTCTTTCAACCTCCCAGGCTCATAGAAGACTCGGTTGATACAGTATCAGTTTTGTTAACCGATTTTGGGACATTTTTAACATACTAAAACTGATCTTTAGTCAGTAAAGCATAGGAACGCAATAAGACTTGAGCACAAGATTACAGAACACATCCCGTCAGATGACTCTAACCCAATTCAGTAAAGAAATAAAAGACTGTGGGGTGCTTTATTAAGTAATTTGTCGAGTCGGGACTAAAAGTCAAGACTTGGGTTTAAAAGACAATTAATAATCAGTAACATTATTGACTTAACTGCACTGACACTATCAGATGAGAACAAAAAAATAAACTGAATTGTGCTGCTTCTTCTGCTTTACAGCTGAAATTGAATTTGCAAGCTGCTTTGAAACAATCTGTATTGTATAAAGCGCTACATAAATGAATGTGACTTGAGTTAAACCCATCAAGGAGCAATACTTACGATTCCAGTACACTGGATAGCACTCTTTATTCCTCACATCCACTTCATAGAGTCCTCCCCTGACACACACTGCTTCTATAGCGGTGTCAGCGCTCTCGTTTCTCTCCTTGCTGCTGGTATCCAGCGACGACTGACCTCCATCAAGCCCATCATCTTCAGGAATCTCCTCTCCGCCACGGCTCTCCCGGTTTAAAGCCCTTCCCGGGTTTAACTCGCAGAATCTGCGATACATGATTTCTATCCTGAGAGAGTCGTGTCCCATGAAGGGCTTCCATGTCTTTTTGTCCTCTTTGTAAAACCACCTGACTTCCTCGGGCCCCAGCTCTGTGATCACCTCGAATCGGTGTCTGGAAGCGCAGGACCGGGCCGCTTTCCGAATGCCGAGCAGACGCTCCTTACCGTGGTAGTAGTCTGAGGCAGGGTTTAGGCAGTAACCTGTGTTGCTGGCATGGAGGTAGCTGGTGACAGGAGTTGTGTGTGGGTCCAGATGGCCCTTAGGAAGGGCGTCCGAGGCAGGATTGTGATGGTTCCCGAGTCTCAGCGTCATTGTGTCTCGTGGTGAAGAGTGTCTGTCTGTGTCTGACCGCACTGCGTACGTCCCTCTCCCACTGGACTCTTCGTAGAGGCTGATGAAGGCATCGTTCCAATCTCTATTGCCAAAAGACAGCTTATTGCCAGGATTGTTAATAAACCGTGTCTTCTTAGTAAGACTGCTCATAACTCATTCCTCACAGAGCCAGCGGGGGTCCCGACCGGAACTGACCTCTGTGACGTCATATCAAAACAAAACGTACCTGACCCTCAACCTGCCACTATAATTTAGCAACTATATCACACTATGTCATGTTATTCGGCTGTTTGCTGCTGGTCAGGTGAGCAGGAATGACCAGCCTGGAGTCGTATACCTGAAATTATGACGTCATAACACAACACAAATAGCGTAAACGCAACTTACCGCTTTTAAATGCACATTAAACGACTTTTTGTCATGTTATCCCGCTGTTATGGAGTTAGGCAAAGACTAAGAACCGGTTTGACAGGCGGCAGTGATTCCTGCACTACCGGAGCGAACCTGCCGTCTGCCGTAACGTTTACCTGAACCCGAACCGGAGCGCGTCATTACACCGAATCACGCACTTCCGCGCCGTTTATCCATAAACGAGTCCGTGTCACGAATAGAAACATAAGTCTGTGCACTATTCCAGTCAGTCTGACGGCGGCTGGGGAAAACACTGACCTGCTGGCACACTGACAAGTGCGGGATGTACGACCTGACGTCACAGGAGACGTAGTGCGTAAGCCCTCACGTACGAGCGCGGCGCGCGCTTGTTACGCAACCAGGTAAGCTGTTTGGAGCGCGCACGTATTTGTGAACGCTCGTGAGGCTAAGCACGCTCTGGATTTGGATGGTTTGGAGTTAAATGTCATTTAATCTAAAATAATAAAAATATATTTCGTATTAAGATACAAAGAACTGTAGACTTTGAATACACACACACAGATAGATAGATAGATAGATATAGTATATAGAGTATGCCACATAATGGCATATTAATAATTAAATAATTAATTCAAATAATTAATTTATTTAGTGTAATTGTATTTAGACAGAGCTTACAATATGTTAGTAATTAATTAAATAAGTTTCTCCAACATGTGGTTTTAATCTAATTTTAATCTAATAGTGGCTGAACCATAAACTTTTGGTTTGCCATGCAGGATCCTTAAATATCAACCCTGTAATTTCTATAAAAAATAGAGGAGCCATAGGCTACTTTTCCCCTTTTATTTTAATCCATAACAAGAAAAAAAAAACTTCTCAATTTGTGTTTTCATGTCTACATGTGAATTGTATTAGCAATGCATTATTTGAACCATGAGGATACTGTGCTTTATACAGTCACATAAGTGGCTCCAGGTGATGAAAATGAATTAGTACTTTGAAGAAAAAAAATATAGTTTTACCAGATGTTGGGGAATTTATTATTATTATTATTATTATTAGCACAAATTTAAGTTGCATCCACCTTCTTTACGACCACAAGATGCCGCTGTTGTCTTGCTACTGACCTTAAACCATTCATCAGTTGTGTGGTCTTTTTTTAGTCTTTTTCAGTAGCTCTGACCAGGTTTGGATGTTTTGGCTTAAATGTCGATTTGTGGGCCTCGGTATTAATGTGGAAGTGTCTCTCCAGCATCGGGCCCCTGCTCTCGACTGTTTCGTGCCTTAGGTGCTAATCGGCAGCGGTCATGAAACCTACTTTGCAAAAACAGCAACACTTTTTAACAACTCGGGCTCATGTGAGAATGTCAAGGGGCCCTCGTGATGTGTAACCCCAGCAGGCCCCTGAACGCCATTGTTCTTTCAGCCATGTTTCCAGGGAAGCTAAAGATACACCTGTGGGTTTCAACTCGTATATATCCTCTGCTGTGATTTGTTTTCTGTCAGACCACAATCTGGAGGGCTTGTGGATCTTGTGGTTTCCATGCAGAGAACATAATGGATGTGTCTGCTTCTGCTGTTTACATGGTCTGTGAGACTGACTTGAGTTCAAATGTCCACAAGTGTACAGCTGTTATCAGACTGCCTGAGATGTTTATACACATACACCATTATTACAACAAGAAAAGTGGGCCAGCTTCTGCTGATATATGAGTCAAATAAAGCTAAACACATTGCTTTTGTTTACTTTAATCCCCAAAAGCTGCATTAGGTTACACTAATTGATTTACAATAAATGTCTGGTGTTTTAGGGCACCTTCTGCTGTTTACATGGTCTGTGAGACAGACTTGAGTTCAACTGTCCACAAGTGTACAGCTGTTATCAGACTGCCTGCGATGTTTATACACATACACCATTATTACAACAAGAAAAGTGGGCCAGCTTCTGCTGATATACGAGTCAAATAAAGCTAAACACATTGCTTTTGTTTACTTTAATCCCCAAAAGCTGCATTAGGTTACACTAATTGATTTACAATAAATGTCTGGTGTTTTAGGGCACATCTGGTATGAGTCTGCAAGTGGAAGAAGGGAGCGTTTGTGAATATGTGAAATTCATGTAGAATCTTCCTGTTTATGACATGTGCGTGTTTGTGTGTGTCAAGAGCATTTGCCTCGTAGGGAATACAACTCTTTAATATACATATAGTGTGTTTATGTAAGTGCCATTTTATGTGTGATGTTGCATGTGTGCTGGGTTCATCGGATCTGCTGCTCTCCACATTCCGCGCTTGCAGGTGGTCTGTCCGCGCTCGGGGTCTAGCAGGGGATTTCATATTTCATAGGAACGCAGCATGCTCTGGACAGCATCATTGAATCCACATGGAAAGCCAGAATGTTCTGTTGTGAACACTTGGCTCGGAGCCGCTGCCCGTCGGCCCCCCTCTAGTGTGCACTCGCTCGTCCTCACTACTATTACAAGCTCGTCATGCAGTTACAGATGCCAGCAGATATCTTTAACCCTTTGGGCTCCAGACATTCAGTTGCCATAATATCTTGCATTACTTTCCATGTTTACCACAATGTAAAAATGATAGGTATTATGTCATGTTTCTGGAGTTTCTTGTTCGTTTTCTTGTCATTGTGTAAATGTAGTTAATAGTTAACCCAGCTAACAAAAATATGCTCTAACAACGTTTTTCAAAGTTATGAAAGCATTATTTCCGAATGTTCAGAAATGACATTTTTTTAAATGTTTAAAAAAAAAAATTGTTAGCTGTTCGACTATTAAGAGAACATTCCCTTTTATCATTTTTCAAACAATGAACGTTACTTTTGAATTTTTGAAAAAAAATTGCATGAACGTCCTACTAAAGCGCTTCAGAAGAAAAAATTCCATGAATGATGTGTAAAAAGAGTTTTTGTGTTAACATTCTATTTACGTTACTGGAAAAATGTTTGTTAATTGCTTTGAACCTTGCCAGAATGTAAATGGCAACGGCATATTCCAGTTGTTTTTTTGTTTTTTTAAGATACAAATACACGACAGGATTAACTTTATGTGTGTATTTCCTTGCACAGTATCATCTTGTCATAGAAAACTGTCGATCTCTGTTGAATAAAAGTGAACAGTGGGTTTTAGGAGAGAAAACTTCACTCATAAAGCATTGCACCATGTAAGATAATGTAAACAGGATGGAGCGCTACAGATGTTCACATCACTGACAGATCTAAGCTGTTATATAATACAGTACATGCTTTGGAAAATTCTGAAAACATGATCTGTAACAAGAGGGTGACATGCACAGGTGTTATGTCTTATTTGCAGTGCTTGTAATGAAAAGTTTAGATACAGTATGTTTATACTGCAGGAATGTTTCGTCAATCGGAATAATCTGAGTTCAGACTCTGAAAGTTCTGTTTGAACCCTAAACTTTCTAAACCCTTTTACATATGAATTGACATTTGCATTCTGAACAAAACTTCAGCGCATACAGTGCATCGGTCGTTGCGTTCAAAACCGGAGAATGTCACCGGAGCTACTACCTGCTGAAGAAACCCCCAGCTAAAACCAGCCTAAGCTTGGCTAGGCTGGTTAAGCTGGTTTTAGCTGGTTGTTCCAGCTGGTCTCCCAGCCTGACCAGCTATGGAAGTGGCCAAAACCCCTTTAAAACCAGCTTGCTGACCAGCTACGACCAGCTATGACCAGGCTGAATGACCAGCTAAAACCAGCCAACCAGCCAGTTTTTTTTCAGCAGGGTACGTGAGTATAATTGTTATTTTTGCCTTGATGATATATCTAAAAGAAAGCTGAAATATATGTCAGAAGGGATTTTGGTAAATATTTAGTAAATATTCAGTCTCATCCACTGATCCGTTTGTAAGATAAGATATCAAAAGTATATGTAAACATAGGCTACGCTTCACTGCGCATGTGCGCAAGTTGCTTTTGAATCTGACTGAGAAGATAACTGCAAAAATGATCAGTCTGTGCAAGAAACTGAACATCATTTGCAACATTATTACCTGTAATCCAGAGCCTCGGGAAAATGGGGAAATCCAATTATTTTCCGTTTACTGGTTCTTTGACAGTTTGTTTCAATTAACTGGTTCAAATAACTGATTCACCAGTTTAATCATGCAATGAAATATGCAATTATATAATTAAAGCACCAAATAATGATGTGAAACACAGATGTTTTACATGTCTAAAGCATATAAAGTTAATAAACTACTTTTAATTAACTTAACATTTTACAAAACAAAAAAATAAAGAGAGAGAGAGAGAGAAACCATAAAAACGTTTATTTTGGCCGCTTCATTCAAGCTCTCGGTTCACACATGCACATATCAGCGGCTCATCAGTCTTCAGTCCGAGTCGAACTGCTTCCTCAGTTCAGTGACTGTTGAAGGAACTGGAGCGCTGAATGATTAATTAATCACAGGATCAGATACGCCACTATTTCAGCTCATTTCGAGCTGGAGTGACTGTCAGGCGTCTGAAAGTGAGTTTTGATGGAGTAACTTGTAGATCTGTGCTGCTCAAGACATGAACTGATTCAGACGCTTCAGTCAGATTTGATGAACTGGTTCAGCTGAATGATTTGTTTAGGAACCGGACAGTTAATAATGGATTACAGGTAATAATGTTGTAAATAATGTTCAGTTTCTTGCACAGTCGAATCCTTTCTCTTCATAAGACGTCATCAGGAGCCACGCGTATTCATTTGTTGTCTGATATGTTTTTTTGTTTAGTTTTTACTCTAATGTCATTTGCTTTGACATTTTATGAACCACAAAGGACTGCGGTTTCAGTTAAAGTCTTCTTTACTTTTCTACTGAAGAAAAAAGTCACCTATCTTGGATGGCCCGAGAGTGAGAAAATTAACAGCAAATTTTCATTTTTGGGTGAACTATCCCTTTAACAACATTTTTCCATTTATAGGTCATGTGTGAACAGGACACGTCACAGTGGAACTTTTTCCAGCAGTGGTACAGCTTTTTAAAACTTATAAATTCTTTAAAATAAATGCTGCATTAAAAGTTGGACTAGATAGTGAGACAGATAGATAGACACCCTTTATATAGATAACACGTCTCTGTCTTTTCATTGTACCACCAAATCTGTGTCCCTTTTATTGTATTTCCTTGGGTGCAAATCCCAAGGTGGCGTAGTCATAATCTGAATCTAACTAGAAAATACTGCTCCGGTCACATTTAGTTGTTATTGTGAGTGTACACAAACAAATGTAGAACCTTACCAGATTTGAACGATGTAATTATTGTTGTCTGTATGACCAAAAATTACTGAGTATTTTAAGTACAAGTGAACGCACCAGCGCCTCCATGTTAACTGTCATGCAGTATAAGCGCGC